ATAACAATTACGGATTATGAAATCTGAAATATCACTTAATCCTACCAAACAATTCACTAATAGGCCTTTTTAGCAAAGAATTCAATAGAATCAACTCAATAAGAACAAGAAACAACAGATATTCAAGAAGAAACTATTCATTTAAAACCCGAGTCTCACAAAAGTGCAAGGATGATAAATCCCTTGAATTGGTGTAAAAAAATTAGCCACTCATAATCATGGCTTCCAATCACCAAAACAAAGAATAAAGAACAAAAACCTAGATTAATAGATGAACTAAGAGAAGAAAAACGTGCCTCCTAGCTGCCGTAGAATCACTCCATTAAGAGAAGAAAAACGTGCCTCCTAGCTGCTGTAGAATCACTCCTTATATAACACCTCCAAACGGAAAAAGAATCCCTAATCAATTGGGAAATTCAAAAGCAGTAAACAGAAAAATATTTACTGTTCTGATTTCTCCCCTGTTTTTCAGCATCTTTTGTTCCAAATCTGGCTCTGACTCCTTCAATAAATTTGAAAATCTCTCTCTCCGCTTTCTAACGAGCTAAGGTTCGCCCAAAACGGACATCTACAACAAGAATATGACCTAAAAAACGAAATCAGATTGAAGCAGAAATTGTGCTCAAAACGTTAATCTTCTATGACGTTTTTGAAGACCAAAACGATTTCATTTCATTTAATTGTCTTCACAACAACTATAGGGCTGTCTTATAAGAATTCAATGGGCCTGGGCTGAGTTAGTTTGGACACTTGGAACTCCAGATATGAAGTCCACAACAGAACAGGTTGTGCTCAGTTATACAGCACATATCTTCAAAATTCAGAGCTGAATTTGATCAATATTGAGACTGAATTAGCTTCTGATTCCTAATTAAAGCTTCTGAATTCCTTCCTTGACAATTGTAGAACTTTTATCATCTTTCCAGCGCATCAAACGGAATCAATTTGAAGTCTATACAAACTCCAGACATCGAATCCAATTTGAAGGTCTACAACTCCAGACATCCCTGAAAAACCGAACAAGGGTCAAGATAAAAAAAATGCTGGAATTTTACCAATTTAATCATATTACTCCAAATGCAACTAAAATAATGTCTAATTTGTAAAAATTGACTAACAAAGTGAATTAAGCACATAAATAACCCAAAAATGCATACGAATATAGACAATAAAAGCACTTGATAATGCACTTATCAAATATATTATAAAATTTAAAAAAAAAAAAATATAAATCCGACTGAACGGAGTTGACCTGATCCAACCGCGATTCAATTGTGAGATCGGCTCAATATTCGGTCCGATTTTAAAAGCCTTGGCATGCATTTCATATAAAAAAAGGTTCTCGTATATCCAAATCTAGGTAAGGACTATCCTATTTTAAAGAGACTCATGAGTCATGATATAAATTTTAAGACTTAATTTAGCTTATTTATCTTAAGTTATTATTCTCATTATTGTTTATAGAAGTAAAATTTACATTGCAATTATATAATAGGGAAACACTCTATGCAAACTTAAGGTTTTTATTTTTCTATTTCTCAAAAAATTATTTCTATAATTTAAAGAGTTTCTTTTGTTTATTTTTGTATATTGTGTTTCTCCATTTGGATAGGGGAATATTTAAGTAAAGTTTAATGGAGTATTTAATTTATTTATTTTCATTATTAATAAATTACTTATTTAGTGTAGTGTGTCCTAAGCGTGTCAGTGTCCTACTTTTTAAAAAATTATCATATCCCGTATTCGTGTCGTGCTGTGTCCCGTATCCCATATCTGTATCTATACAATCTGGAGTGCAGCTAGTAGAGATAAAAAAATTGTGCATCTTAATAAAAAATAAATAATAAGAAGATTAATTTCTAAAAAAAGAAAGTGGAACGCCTACATTCTTAGTTTGCATTACCATAAATGTCTTAATTTCATTTATGTAGGTACAATAATATCGTTTGCAAGAGAAGTGGAATGGCTAAGCATATGCTTTAAATTGATCATTTAGAAGAGGCTAAATCATTAAAAAAAAAAAAAAAAAAAAAAAAAAAAAAAAACTCAAAACTTGCGCGTAGTTTTTAGTTGTAAACCTTAAATTAAACTTTCTTCTCTTAATATTATGAATTTAAATTTCAAATTAAATAAAAAAAAAAAAAAAAAAAAAACTCAAACTTTGCGCGTAGTTTTAGTTGTACCTTAAATTAAACTTTCTTCTCTTAATATTATGAATTTAAATTTCAATTAAATAACACTCTAATTTAATGAATAAAATATTATTTTATTGGACTTATATGGTCAAGTTAACCAAAAACTCACCGTTTAACAACACCCTAACTAATACTAGTTATGGATTTTTTTAAAATTCAAAAAAAAACCAAGTAAAATAATAAATTTTTGTTAGTTGTAAGCATAGAATATTAGTTTAGATGTTTGTTTCGCCATTTTTAAAGTATGGAATTTTAGTTAGGGTTTATTGAAATTATACTTAAGTTAAATTTCTTATAAAAATTGTATTTATTCATTATGGCATCATTTTATTTTAGAAAATCATTAATTGTTGTCAATATTATATAAATAAATAAAAAGTATTGTATTTTAGATGGATATACTATTTTTTATTTTAATATGGGTACAATTTGAAAATAAAATTTTATTCATTAAATTGTACCCAATTTAATGAATAAAATATTATTTTTTTATTTCAATATTGGGTATAATATAAAATTAGAGTGTTATTGTAACTAAAGTTGAAGTTTAGTGTACTGGAAGAAGGAAGTTGAACATATCATATAATTAAATTACCTGCAAATTTCGGAATTTTTTTTAATGATTTAGCCTTTAAAAGATAAGGCAGCAAAAGACATAATTTGGCCACTCAAATTTGAGTCCCTTGATGATTTCTAAATCCGTTTCTAATCCCTTTTTAAATCCTATACAAGATTTTGAATCCAAGGATGTTGTTAATTCGTTTCTAATCCATTGCTAATTAGCAACGAATTGATCAATTTCTAAAAAACTATTGCCATTTCGATATTTTCTTGTAGTGTGCTAGTCACAATAACGTAACATTGGTTATTCATAAATGGATATCCAATTTTGCTCGGAGTGATTTGTTCATTTATAAAACACAAATGGTCATATGTCACTCTGAAATTTTAAATTAGTATTTTTTTAATTAAATTCGAATTAGGTATATTGGAATCAAATTAAATTAAGACACTAAATTAAAATTAAATTAAATAACAATTGATCTTAACTGGAAAATTTAAAAAAATGTCAAAATGACTTGTACAAGAATTGAGCTTGGGATCTTCTTATATACCATTTGAGCTATAACCCTCATCCATTTATTTTGGTTGATGAAATAAATTTATCGGTATAAATTTAATCTATTTGAATTTGCATACTTATCCATTACAAAATATCCAATATATATTCATTACTAATATTAAAATCTAATATGTAATAGTGTAACTAAGTGAGTTAATTTAGTTCAAATTAGGTTGTCTAAGTTTAATCGGATTCCAAATGTGACTTAATAAAGTGAAGAAGAAGAATCATTGGTTATGGGAATATGTATTTAATGAATAAATTTTTCTCTAAAATTAAGTTTATTTCCCACCCATTTATTGCTCCAAAATATTTGGGAGGTTATATTTGTGAATTTATAGGCAATGATCCTGATTTGTCTTGAGCCAGATAACAGCGCTTATATTAATATCCGTTAAAATTAAATGATCCATATTAAATTATTCTTGAAATTAATGAAATTACAGTTAAACTTTTGACTAAATAGAGTTTTCTTTGAAGATTAAAGATTGATATTTTCATTTTTTTTATCAAGAATTTAATTAATGATAATATAATGATTTGACTTATATTTGTTAACGAAGAAGTATATTAAATAAAGGCAAAATAGTAAACTTCAAATATTATTCAGAGAAGGAAATAAGATAACAACTTGCCAGTTGGAACTAATGAGTAGGACAAAAATTATAGGATGAGGGAGTAAATAATAGAGGAGTTCTAATATCAACTATCTCATGAAGGTGAAAGACAATAGGTGGAAGCAGTAATTTGTGTATAACTATTTAGTGACTTTTATTTTCAAAATCTAATTATATACATTTCTTTGATTTTATTCTCATTATACTTCATAATGATTATATTTATTTTTCTTATTAATAATCATGATGAGTTTCAAATTTGTGGGCATAGTTGCAACAAGATGATTGAAACAATAATTGAAAGTAGAAGGGAGTTGCGACAGGCTAGAGCATCATAGAAGGGAGTTGCGACAGGCTAGAGCAATCATAGAATTGAATGTATCTTTAAAATAGGACTTGAGGTCCCATACATAGAATTCTAGAAGACTCCTTGTAGATTACTTTTCAGGAATGTTGATAGTGAGTATTTGATTAACATTTCACTTTTTGGCATAGCTCGTATTGACTATGGAATAGGACTTATCTCCATGTCCATAGCTTAAGCATATGCTAAGTTTCTATTGCTTGGTGGCTAAGGCTTGGGCTGAGCCACAATCTTTTTGTCACTTTTAAGTTTGGGCCACGCTGATGCGGCAATTTTTGTTGCCTTTTGACGATAATTAGCTGAGTGTATTAGATTATGACTTTATTAAATTTTAAAAAATTTTTAAAATTTCAATAGTTTTCAATCTAATTTTTTTAGAGTCTATTAAAATCTTGTGGTTATTTAATTCAGACTCTTATAAAATTTATAAAAATCTGATGGTATTCAATTATGACTTTTTAAAAGTACATACAAATTTGATGGTATTCAAAAAATTACTGATTTGGAAGGATTTTATAAAATTATTGATTTTCCTGGATTTTAAAGTGGTAGATATGAATAAAAGAGTCATTCACAAATCCATCTTCCAACCCAAAGATTTCAAAAATCTTTCAAAATCTAAAATCGTCCTTGCGCGAACTCTGGCAATTGTCACAGGTCCTGGTTAGCAGTGGTTGTTGATTTTCGATTTTGAATAGTTGTCGTTCAGTCAAGGGACGAGAAACCTGTGGTCTTCTGACTACATTGTGACTATTTTGAGAGCACAGGATGATCGTCGGCGGCGTTGGCCATTGCAAGGCCTTTCACTGTTGGCAATAGTAAAGTTTTAATGAGAAAAAAAAAAATGATTTTGGAGAAGATGATTCAATTACTTTTTGGTCTCTCATTATTTTTCAATTTTTCAATTGGGTTCCAAAATCTTTTAATTTGTTCAATTAAATGTTTAAATTAATTTTGATTAGATATATAAAAATCATTATAATTTCATCAAAGTCAATCAAAATCTATAAAAAAAGTCTCACCAAATCCACAAAACTCTATGTAGAATTCTAGTGAAATATGTGGAAATCTTAGGAAATCTTTCAATTCCAAAGTCTCACAATCAAAATCTATAAAAAAAGTCTCACCAAATCCACAAAACTCTATGTAGAATTCTAGTGAAATATGTGGAAATCTTAGGAAATCTTTCAATTCCATCAAACTCAACAATTCTTTTAAAATCTTACACAATCCTAATCCAATACACCCCTTAATTATTAATGAAATATCGCTATTATCTCTAATAAATATGTGTCACAAATAAAAGTGCTTAAACAGGGAATTGCTATTTAGTCTCTAAATATATTCGAATATACTAGTCAAAACACTTTATTTTTACAAATTAATTATACATTTCTTTAATTTCGTCCTGTCAGACTATTTAATCCTTCTCATTAGTAGTGAAATTAATAAAAGAATTTAAGTAGCATAATGAAATAAAATCAAATGACAATATGATTAAATTTTAAAAATAAGGGCTGTAACTAGTGTATTTGAGTAGAAGTTCACCTCAATTCTTTTATTTTGTAATAATAATTACACAATCCTAATCCAATACACCCCTTAATTATTAATGAAATATTGCTATTATCTCTAATAAATATTTGTCACAAATAAAAGTGCTTAAACAAGGAATTGCTATTTAGTCTCTAATTATATTCGAATATACTAGTCAAAACACTTTATTTTTATAAATTAATTATACATTTTTTCAATTTCGTCACATTAGACTATTTAATCATTCTCGTTAGTAGTGAATTTAATAAAAGAATTTAAGAAGCATAATGAAATAAAATCAAATGACAAAATGATTAAATTCTAGTGTATTTGAGTAGAAGTTCACCCCAATTGTTTTATTTTGTAATAATAATTGCTTGAGCATAAATTATTACAACGAATATGCTAGTTTGTAAGTTAATTAAAGCTTTTGCCATGACAGATATTTAAATTGCTTGTTATAGCTAATTCTATGCCAAAGCCTGAACACAAAATGGACATTCTGTTAATTTCAAAAAAAAAAAAAAAAAAGGACATTCTGTTTAAAAGAGTGCAATGGAATTGAACATAAACTTTTGAAATTGCTAATTTAGCTATGCAGATGTAGTCTTAGAAATTAACTATATAGGGGGAAAAAATGCACTTAGAAAAAATGTATTTTTAGTCATTGTGATCACATCTTTTGGAGAAAATGCTCCGACAAACATAACCCAATAAGAAGTGCTAAAGGTACTACCTACTATCTAAACTATCAGGCAAGAATATTAGAATGTTCTGTTGAAAGAAAATTTTTGTACCTTGTACATCCTCTTCAATAGAGACAGAGACATTGATATCAGGAGATGGCCTTTGATTAGATGTGGGCTCTTCTGATACTTTCCAACTGCCGTTGTAAGAATTTGTAGTATTTGTTATTTGTTGGTCATTTGCATTATTGTTAACTGTTCCTCTATGGTTCTGTTCTGTTAACTGATTATTATCAGGTTTTGGCTGTGAGATTGGTCTTGCCTCGGTTGCTACATCTGGAGCACTTGAAATTACAGAACTCATTATTGTATGTTCGCGATGATGCTTTTTCTTGTGTGCCTTGTAACCATTAGGCATGAAGCTGCCTACAACAATCTTACCAAATAAGGAGAAACCAAATATTAGAAACTAATATCAAGCTGTTTTCAGGATCGTTAAATTGCAAGTCTGAAAGTAGGGGTACAAATGACCCAACTCAGTGAGCTGTTCGAGCTCGCTCGAAAAAATTCAGTTCCATAAATCTCGAGTCTAATGATGTTCAGCTCAACAACTCATTGAGTCTATATATAGTAAATTCTGAAGTCGAACTCGAGTTTAAAATTTATCAGGTCGAGCCACAAGGTGAGCAAAATCTTATTCTTGAACACCAGCCTTAAGTCAAAGCTCGAGCCGAGCTCAAGCCTAGAGAATTTTTAAGCTCATCGAGTTTCGAGCCTAATAGATTCGAGCTCAACTCAACATGTTTACAACCCTATCTCAAAGCATCTATTAACCAAATATATGTATTAAAAATATAGAAACTTTAACGGCAATAAAGGTTGAAATGCATGAGAGAAATTAAGGGTTTACTTGGATAGGACTAGCTGCCAGTAAGAGTCCTGCAATGCCACCGCCTATAACACGACCATCGGGGCTAGCCAAGGAAACACTAAGTCCTCCAGTCCTACTTCTTACGCCACCATTTTCACTCACTGTGAATGACCCCGATAATGAAAGGATCTCAAATCGACCCTGCAATTCATATTTGCATATATAAATAGAATTAAGGTTTTGGTTGGTAAAAGATCAATTCTTGCAAGTTAAAAGAGTTGAACTGTGTAGTACTATTTTTTTAATTGTGAAGTATATAAAAGCTTAGTAGTAACTCATTTTAATTAGTAAAAATGTTTAAGAAAATTTTTGTTTGATAAAGATTTCAAGTTAAAATTATAAATCTCAAAGCAGTTGGCCTTACCTATATGAAATTATCTGAATAAAATCAAGGACAGTGAAATTCCTCACAAGAATTAGCAATTGTAACACACACAGGTTCACAAGTTTTATATAACACTAAAGGTGCATGCAAATTGGAGTGCAAACTGAAAAAAATGAAACATCTAATGGTAAACATAATGTAATGATTTAATAATAGATTTCAGTCATAAAAAATAAAAAAAATAAAAAAAAGAAGGAACAAACAGTCCAAGAATTTTGTATACCTCATATGTCAAAATACCACCAGAAGAACCTGGTTGTCGAATAGTAACATTAGAAACAGCTCCATTGGCAGAAAGAATACAAATTCCTCTAGGACCTTTTTGAGCTAATGACACAATTTTCCCTGCAACATCCTGCAAACAATAATGGTACATAATATATTACAGTCCATTTTTTATAAAAGGAATATATATTTTTAAATAATAATAACTAAATTTAGAAAATATTATAACTTGGACAATTAATATTGGTAAAGTAAATTAGAAATATTTAATTAACCTTGGACAATTAATATTTTTGGTAAAGTAAAATATTACCTCTCCAGTAAATAATTACCTCTCCAGTTTGCACGGTTACCACGTGAGGAGTGAAGTCACCTCCTGCTGTATTTGCAAATAGCTCCCCTTCAAGGATTAAGGACTAGTGTGAGATAAATCTAATTTTTCAATTTCCTAGTTTATTACATACTATTTTATTGCGTTTTATTTCATGAAATAATTCCCAATCCCAACCCTAAAATTTTGTTTTCTCCAAAAATAAACCTGTCAAACACCAAAATTAATTTTTATATAACCTCCCTTTCTTCTTCCTTCAAGGTCATAATTGGATGATTGTGAACTGGTTGGTGAGAAAATCATGGGGAATTTTTTTTAACAAAAAAAATTAAAAATAAAGTAAAAAGTTGGCAAGTTTGAATCCTTTGCCTTTTGTTTCAAATAAAAGGAAAATTGTAATAAATAAAAAACATCATACTTAATTAACCTTTTTCTCCTTTCTTTTTCTACATTTTCTCAGCAACCAATCACCAGTTACAAAACCAGAAAAAAAAAAAAAAAAAAAAAAAAAAAAAAAAAAAAAAAAGCAAGTCCAAAGGCTTTCTTCTTTTCTTATCCTTTCAATTATATGGAATTTCTTTTAAACTCACCTACAAGAAGCAGAGAGCTGGCCAGGTTCACGAGCCAAGACAGGCCGTACCCCGAGCCTCTTTTTAGAACCACCAGAGACGGCTGCGCTTGGTGAACAGGCGAGAGAAAGAGAAACCTATGTGGTGGATGAAAAAAAAAAAAAAAAAAAAAAAGCAAGTCCAAAGCTTTCTTCTTTTCTTTATCCTTTCAATTTCTGGATTTCTTTAAACTCACCTAAAGAAGCCAGAAGCTGCCAGTTACCGGAGCCAGCAGGCCTACCCCGACCTCTTTTAGAACCACCAGAAGACGGCTGCGCTGGTGAACAGGGAGAGAAAGAAAAACCATGTGGTGATGCTAATGGTTGATGAAATGGCTGCGGTCTAAGGTTTCCTTCTGAATCGTATTTTCGTGGCCTTCCTCTCTTCTTTTTCCCTGAAAAATCCGCACTACTTCCACTAACTGCGCTGCTGGATCCTCCAAAGCCGCTTGGTGGGGTTGTTCCTGAACTAGTTATGGTTCTTTCCATGTTTATGTTCTCTGCAGCCATGTTCATGTTTATATTCATTGCCTGTGGCATTATAACGCTGCTTACTGGAGGCGGCGAGTCAGTATCCGAGTCAGCTTGTGACCCTGAAACTGTACTTTCTTTTTCTTCCATACTGGGTACGGGTGGGTTGATGTTTCAGCCAAGGGAGAAAAGAGAGTTTTGTTGTTTTGAAAGAGAGAAATAAGCAAAATGGAGTGAAGTTTGAAAGAAGGAGACAGCAAATGGCGCCAGAAATAGAAAGTGTGAAAGTGATGTGAGGTGAAAAAAAGAAAAGAAAAGAAAAGAAAAGAAAAGAAAGGAGAAGAAATAAAGATTGGATTAGAGAAAGAGAAAGAGGTTTTATAAACTTAAGAGCTGCATTAATGGAGGAAGAAATAGGTGTATGTGAAAACAGGTCATTTTCTTGTCTGGACTCTACAGTCTCATGAAACGCGGTTACCGTGTAATTATTAATAATACCAATACTTTCAACTACCCATATTACCCTTCTACCCATTTCGTTGTTTTTGTATTTATTTTCTCCATACAACAATTTTAATGGCAGCAAAGCCTTTTTCTAAAAAAAAATAAATGAATTTCAAGCCCTTTTTCTAAAAAAAAATAATAATAAGTTCAAACGCTTTTTTTAAAACAAATAAATTAAGTTATGCCTTTTTATTAATTTTTTTAAAAAAGTTTCTTCTAAAAATTATTTCATAAATATTTTAAATTCTAAATTTTCAAAAAAAAAAATGTTCTCTATTTTTTATTTTATAATTATACGATTCGTCAGAAAATCAATCGGGAAACTAGCCGGAAAAATCGATTTTAGACCGTTAAAAAACTGAAATTGAAACCATAACCGTTTGATTCCAAACCATAACTCAGATCTATAAATAAATCTGAGTACAAAATCTCAATATATGAACAACAATAAATTCCAATATATGGGTGATAATAATTTAAATCTATAAACAAATCTGAGGATTATTAGTAAAAAAATCAAATAAAAAAAGGAAAGGAGTGACCACCGGTGAAAACTCACCGGTGGTCGCCCATAAAAGAAGGGAAAGAGATTCTAGGTTTTGAGAGAAAGAGGGAGAGAGAGAGAGGAGGCAGCAGGTTATAGGATTATCATCACTTTGAGAAGATTAACAAATATTTTTTCTTTCAAATTTACCTTGGCTCTAGCAAACAAAATAAATTATTATATATAATTTTCTAAAATCTCTCTTATCTGCTTCTTATTTATCTCTCTTAATTTTAGTGGTAAATTGATGGAGAAACTTTTTGAGATTAGAGCAATAATTAGATGAGGTCAAGTGTCCTTTAATCAAATTAAGAACTATTTTCTTTTCTATAAATATAAATTTATTTCTATAATTTTATAAAGCTATCTTTAGTTAAATTACAATGGTATCAAATAAAAGATAATTAAATTAAATTAATAAATATTTTTTTGTTAATCATTTAGGAAAATTAATTGATTTTTTAATTGCCACCTAAAAACCCTTAAATGACTTATATTTATAAACCAAGTATTTTGTTACAACTACCATTGCGTTAATTTTGTTATATTCTTAGACCGAGTATTTTGATTTGTCATAAAAAAAAAGATTTAACACCTTAATTATAAAAAAAATAATGGCAATTGACTAAATCACCTTTTGATTAATTTTTTGTAATTAAAAGAGATAAAGTTTGATAGAAATATCTAAATAAGAGTAAAATTAGAATAAACTAATTGATATTACCTTTATCTAAAAGTGTCATAAAAACTAGAACAAAATAAAAGTCAAAAGAATATATCTTTCGTGAATATCAATTCCAAATGGAAAAATATAATATTATATTTTTTTTAATTTTAATTTATTATTTAAAAGAATATAAATTTTTTAACTTTATTAAAAGATCAGCGAACTTTATCAATTATTAATAGTAAAGTCTTATGGCCGGTCTATATGATTATTTGTAATTTTTGATATTATTATTAATGAATTAGATTTTCAAAATAAAATAAAATAATTCAAAATTATGAAGTTGAAGTATTGTAATTTAAATAATTTATAATTGTTTGTTACTCATCATAAAAAAATTAAAATTACAAATAAAAGTAAATGGAGAAAGTAATATCAATCTAACAATTCAAATTCAACGAATATAACCGTAATTTTAGTTATGTGCAAAATTGTAGGCCAAAGGAAAAGTAAAAGAATTCATTTTTTTTTTATTATTATTTTGAAGAAATCCTGCAACATTTGACTTCGAGAATGGAAATTTATATAAGTCGTAGTTCGGATTTAATGAAATAATGATTTCAATTTTTGAAAATTAAAAATTAGAACTGAAATTAGTTAGAGATGTATTAGTTCAGTTTCAGCATTGGTTCACCTAATAATTTGAATTTTGTTTTGGATATAGTTATAGTATTGGTTCTGGCAAGACCCAATTTCGACTATTTTTTAAAAAAAATTGCTAAAATTACTTTGAATTTTTAAAATTGTTACGGTAATATATATGGAATGAAACGAAGGGCAGTTAAGTAAAATTGGAAACAACTCCTTTCTATTTGTTTTTGGATATAAAAATCCATGGCAACTAAAAAACAAACGAAGATGAGCCGATGGTCGTTTGGATTAAAAAAAAAAAAAAAAAAGAAACAACTCCTTTCTATATTGTTTTTTGGAATATAAAAATTCCCATGCAACTAAAAAGAAGCAACGAAGATGAGCCGATGTCGTTTGCGATTAAAAAAAAAAGAAAAAAAACAAAGAGTTTGGATTAAAAAAAAAAAAAAAAAGAAAAAGAAAAAAATCCAGTCAAACAAGAGCTTTGCTGTTAAAGCTAAAAACCCGCCATAAAAAAATGCTTTATTTTTATTTTAGAAGCCAAAAAGTTCAAATCCCTAAATTACGTTTCATATTATTATAATTGAAATCCTAATTTACCCTTTTTTTTTTCTCCCTCATTTTCTACTCCCAAAAAGCTTTCTGATTTGGGCAATCCACAAAAATGAAAAGGCGTTTATGTCCCTAAAAGTTTCACAAAGCATTGGTTTTTTTTTTTTTTTTTTTCTTTTTTATCAATGGAACGGAGACGTCTAAATGACCCGAAACATAAGTTGAACTTTTAATGAATTTTTTTTTTTTTTTTTTTTCTTTTTTAACCAATGAACGAGACTCTAAATGACCCAACATAAGTTGAACTTTAATGAATTCAACTTCGGATCCTTTAAAAATAGTTAAATTCGATTTTGGCTCAATAACCATGAACGAGCAAAGTTCGAATTCAAATATGGTTCAATTACCATAAATGTATTCAATGCAAACTTCAGTTAGAAATTTATCAAATTAAAATAATATTGTTTTAATGCGAGTTAATTAATTGGTTTATTGAATTACTCATGAGCTTGACTCAATTTAATAAAGCTAGTTCATGAATTGACTCGTGATCTTAGCTTGATAATATTTTCTCACGAATCAAATAAGTTGAGCTCAAGCTTGACTTAATAAGTTTATTGAATGAATTCTAGCAAATTTTTGTCAAACCGAACTTCAAATAGTTAAAAAGTGATTTGGCTCATTTACTGACTTAGCTCATTTTTAAATACTTATCTCATTTGAGAAAATACTAAACTCACAAATATTTGTTACATTTGTGGATTTCATAAATAATAAATTATTTTTTTCATTTTTATCCTTTATGACCAATAGTGATTGCTTTAGTTCTTCAATAATTTATTCTAATTTAGACAAATTAAATGCAGTATAGTCAATTCACTCAATAATTTATTATAACTTAAATAAATTAATGATTTTCTTAAATTATGTAAATATATTTGAATTTAAGTATTTAACAGAAAATTTATTTGAATTATTAATTATTGACAATTAAGAGTTTAAGTAGGCTTAGCTATTGAAGGGAGGAATAAATGTTGATAATTTAAAATTTGAACTTAATTTTAAAATATTAAAGTTTCCCCTTAAGGATATTACCTCCCTACACCTATGTATGAGCTAATTTATAGACAAGCTAATTCATAAACAAGCCAATCTGATAATTGTAAATTATGGTAATTTGTATTTTTTTTTTTTTATTTTTTTCATAGAAAGATGACATGCTGATTTATCCAATATATCTACGTAAGTATTTCTCGTTTTTCAAATATTTATGTTCGACGAAAATTTCAAATACAAATTCTAACTATTTATTCAAAATGAATATAAATTACAAAATCCCATCGAAACACATCGGTACAATTTTAAACACCAATAATAGAATTGAAAGTATCTTCTCTAAATAGAAAAAAAAAATTTTAATAAATGCTCATAGTTTTTTTCTCTCCTACTTTACCTACTCCACTTTTATGTGCTGATTGCTGAAGGTTAATAAAACCGACGGTTTTATATCTATAAAAAATATATATATATGTATATATGGAGTGCCCATATCAATTTGCTAGAACCTAAAACCAACAAATTACAAAAATAAAAAAAGAAAAAGTTAAAAAGAGGAGACGAAAAGAAAGAAAGAAAGAAAGAAAAAAAAAAAAAAAAAATTTTTTTTAAAAAAATTGCTAAAATTACTTTGAATTTTTAGCTCTGCAAATTCTAGCTTTGCAAAAAGCAAAACTTAACAGTAAGATAAAAGAAGATGTTGGTAAGACCGTTGACGGCCCGGACCAAACACGCAATTCCCCACTTATTATTACTACAGCTACTACAAAAAAAAAATGAAAAATAAAATTTTTTTTATACAAAAAAATAAATTCTTTGAAAAAGAACGAAAAATAACCAAAAAAAAAAAGAAAGAAAAAAAAAAAAAAAAAAAAAAAAAGAACGTGCTGTGATTCCCTGCACTCGATCCTTTAAATTCAATGGGTGATCCCACTTTAATCTTCAACCGGATTCGAACTTATCATCTTGGCCCATGGAAACCGTCCCTAGTTTTGCTGCTTTTTAAATCAAAAATAAATAAAGGGCGGCCTTATAGTCAGAGCAATATTTGTTAAGATCATAGCAACGAGCTTACTAAAATTATAAATTGACTATTTTACCCTTTAATTCCAACGCCAGTCTCTTGCAATTGCCTCTTTTAAAAATTCAATTTTCTCTCTTCTTAGTAGAGGAGGCCACGGTTCCGGCACCTAACATATCTGGTTCCAAAAAATTTAAAACTGAAATCGAGCTGAAAATTGACAGTTTTGGTTACAGTAGGAACTGAACGATTATGGTTTCAATTTCAGTTCCTTAACGGTTCCAAATCAATGGTTCCAACGGGTTCTTCGGTTGATTTTCAGATATTATAAAATCAAAAGCTAGGGAACATTTTTTTTGTTGAAATTTTAAATTTTAAATATTTATGAAATAATTTTTAGAAAAAACTTAAAGAAAAAATAAAAAAGGCTTAACTTAATTAATTTATTAAGAA